TCCACGGCCTACCCCAGTTACCACTACTGTGCATGTGTGTCAAGGACAGAAAGGCAGATGTGGCAGTGGAAGATGTCAAAGCAGTTTGGAGAGAAAAACAAACTAAAGAAAAAAAATTGATTAATAGATTATTAAATTAGTCATCGATTCTTTTAATAATCGATTAGTCGTCGATTAATCAACTAATCGTGGTAGCCCTAGAGCCAACATAGACTGTCTCTTCTTCAACAAACCTATACTCTCACAAAGTAATCATTCGCAGTTTAGCMTGGAAGCCTTTCTGCCGGTAAAGTTGGGTGTTCCATCAAAGAAAATAAGCGATTACTTAAACCATAAGAAAATTGGTTGGTTTTAGCAACCATATCTGGGTTCCTACTAAGGTTGGGCAATATTGGCAAAAAAATTTATCACGACTAATTGTGGGTATTTATCCGATAAAGATTAATTTGACAATTAATCCCCTGGAGTCCCTGGACACCCTTATGTCCTGGTCACATGACCAAATTAGTGGGAAAGATTTGCTCTTTGTAAAAAAAATGTTCCAAATTGTGTGAAAATTACTGATTTTGGGCTATACATCATATTTTAAATTGTGTTGATAGATAAACTTTATTTTTAATGTTCGTCATATTTGAAGTGGAGTGGAGCACTGAGTGGACTGACTGGAGTAATCCCCAGTCAGTCTGCCTGGTGGCATTAATCGTATTAATCGTCAAGTGCCAAAAACTAATTGATTAATGTTTTTCTGAGGATTAATTGCACATGATACGATTATGCCCAACCCTAGTTCCTACAGCTTAAGGTAAGTTCAATTTGAGATTTTTCAAAACCTCTTTAATGCCACTTGAAAGGAAATTTTAAGACAACTTTATAGTGAAAAACAAATGGAAATAACCCAGTTAGCAACAATGTTACCAAGATGACAAGTTTAAAACAAAACTAGTGAAGCGGTCTACAAGAAAGGACAGAGCAGACTGTACTTCTTAAGGAAGCTGAGARCCTTCAATGTCTGCWGCAAGATGCTGCAGATCTTCTACAAGTCTGTTGTTGAGAGTGTCATCTCTTCTGCCATCATCTGTTGGGGCAGCAGCATCAGAGCCAGGGACCTAAAAGGGCTAAACAACCTGATAAAGAAGGCTGGTTCTGTTCTGGGGACGGCTGTGGAACCACTGGAGATGATGGTGCAAAGAAGGATTTTACATAAAATCAAGAACATTGTGGACAACCCTGACCATCCTCTTCATCAGACTGTCATAGAAAGACAAAGTGTCTTCAGTCGGAGGCTTCTTCAACTTCGCTGTAATACAGACCGCTACAGAAGATCTTTCCTGCCCAAAGCCATCAGCATCTACAATAAGTCTTTAGTTAAATGAGTTACAACAACACCTAATTTCCCTCTGGGATCAATAAAGTATTTTTGAATTGAATTTGAAAACTAGCTGTGTGACATTCATAAGATTATTTAAAAAAATCAATTATTTTAATATTTCAAATTAATTATAAACATCCTTACAATGTTTAAACATTTTTAAGACCTCTGAAAGATTGATTTAAAACATTTTAAGGCTAATTAAGTCCTTTTTCTTGAATTAATTAGTTCAATACCTTTTAAGACTTTTTAAGGACCTTCAATACATTTTACTGGAAATATTTTAATAATACAGTCATATGGGCAAATAATTGCTGAAATTTTTATTAGTGGTTTTGCATTAAATATATAAGAAATTAAAAAAGTAACCCACTTCTTATCTGAATACAGCAGCGCATAAACCTCTCTGTGCATTCCTTCTGGTCTCTTGAAGGTCAGCGTCTCTGTCGCCTTTTTGTGCTTTTTCTGCATAAAGTAACAAAAAGATACGATGGAGTAAAAGGCCACAGTACAAGATTATTTTTAATTACAAGGAAAAAAAATACGAGATTAAAGTAGTGTTATTACGAGAACAAAAGTGTAATATTTCAACATTAACGTCGGTATATTACGAGAATACAGTTGTTATATTATGATAACTCAGCCGTTTTACCACTGTGTAATCCAGGCTACTGAACAACCGTTTAGGAAATACTTTATATTTTAACACARCAACATCAAATTATCAGTAGGACTTTGAAATGTTTGTGCAAACAATTATATGGATTTATATGATCAAATGAAGCCATACTGCAATCAATGGCTGCGTTGATGGATTTGGTCACATAATTTGGATGGAAGCATTTTACACAGTGACCCAAAAGTCARTGCGGACTTCTTCATAAACAGAGGCGCACATGGCTGACCACAGCTGTGAGGAAAATGATGAGGGGAAAAAAAAATCAAAACCGTAAAATCAATGGACATGTCATGTACTATTACGGCGTTTTCCTTGTAATTACTACTTTATTATCGTAATATTGTGACTTTAATCTCGTAAACTCGTGTTGACTTAATTCTGTTGTAAAAAAGAAAACATAACAGAAAATTAAGAGTAGAGTTTAATAGGCACGCTATTATCCCATATGTTCAAAGACTTGTCATATGTCCCCAAAAACTAACTTAAATCGTAAAAAGAGTTCAATCATATAATAATGRCTACCTTATCAGAGTTGATGAGGTCTTTTTTGCTGATAGGACCATCGTTCTCCCCTCCACCCAGTTCCAAAATATCCCGAACATCAGCACCAGTAGCCATTATGTTGTAGTTGGTAAGCTGTCAAATGTAGATACCGTTCATTGTTTACTTGCGCTCATTCATTCCGTTCACGTTAAACGAGTGCGATGCTAGCTAAAAAAGCTAACAATACATTTTGARTTCTCAAGCTACGTTTGCTTTAAAGACCTGTAATCACGCAGTGGAAAATATTTATATATTACTTTTGAAGATAATAATAACARCCAAGTTTCTTAAAAACAAAAATTGCGCAGATTGTAAAAACAATATGATCTGTTGATGWAGGTTCGGTGGTAGTTAGCTAAAAACGGACCACACTTCCGTCCCAGCTCACGAACTCACACAGGTTGTCTCACCCTCTAGTGGTGTGGCGGACTCACAGTGCTAGTGTGTAAAAAGGTTGTGTGTTTAGTTTGAGTTTTATTTTTTTTATAACGCCCTCTGTACAGAACAACCGAGCGTCTGTTGCTAAAAACGCGCAGATGTAAATAAGACTTTTACTAACAAATTTTAGTTCACAAAGAAAAGACTGCGTAATCGTTTTGTTTCTTTCCCTGTCTTCAACAAACCAATGCYGACATTACACAGCCACATTTTTTGTACTTTAAGTGCAAACACGAATAAATTCCWAAACATACATTTTATATTATAGATGTAGTAAAAAAATATGCGTGTTCTCATTTTCAATGTCGTTTTTTGTTTCCCGTGTTGGTACTCTTACTTTGAAAGATACACCGGAAGAGGCTTATCTTTGAACCATTTTTGCTCCGCTGCGCCGTCGCCATTATCTAATAGCCAAATTTGATTTGTGCTATTGCAGTTCGTTCGTTGACTATTAAAAACCAAATTTCATCTTAATAAAAGTAACAGTGGTTTGATTAGGTATTAATTTGCATTAAAAATGTCCAACGAGCAGGGTGACAATATGTCCGACATTGTCCAGCCACAGCAGCAGGGGTAAGTCAGTCGTTTCTTTGTTGTAACTAAAACTAGCAAGGTTAGCTAACCCGTCCCGACTTACGTGTTATTTAATTGATTTTTAGGAATAAACATAATGCTTGCTTTAATGTATCATAATGTGATAAGTTATCATTTTATTTGGTTGCATCATGTAGTTCTGTTTTATTCAAAACAAATGATTTYCTGCAGTGCTTGTGTGCAGGGATGGGATCCGTCTATCACCTGGCGTTAACTATYTAATACTGATATTTAATGTTCGCTATTAAACAAAAAAAAATCTTCGAAATGTTTAATTTCGCGTGAATTATAGGCAAAGTAGCATTTTTAAAGTTTGTGTTTTTATTTTTGTTTTATTCCATTAGTTGTAAGGTACTTTTTTTTTTTTTAGCGGCCTGGCTTCCCTCCGCCATGTGACAGCCTCGAGTCGGGCGTAGCCATTTTTGTTCCAGTGAAATCTAACATAAGCTCAATTTGATCATCTGTATCATAGAAAGATTATTAGTTCAAGTATACGGAGGAGCCATTCAGTTATTATTTACTCGTTTTATACTTTTTTTAAAGCTACTTTAATTTTGAAAATGTATTCAATCTCTACTAGTTGTTTTTAAGTGTTGCCAGTGTTGCGTAATATTTTTTGTCTGTACTGATGATCTGTTTGAACAAATTTCGTTATGCAGAGAAATGAATGGAAAACCCAAGAGTGACTCCAATGTGAGCAGGAAGGAGAGACCCCAGAAGAGAGGTGGAGGGGGTCGATTCGAACCCTATGGCAATGTAAACAAAAGATACCGAGTCTTTGTCAGCAACATCCCCTACGATGTAAAATGGCAAACCCTCAAAGACTTGATGAAAGAATTAGGTAAGGTGTTTTAGGAATTACGAGGTTCTAACCTATGCAAGACTTGGCCATGATATAAATAGAAAATAAAGATCAACATCCAGGATCATTTCGGTTGGACGCTTCATTTATTCTCGAAGTCGAACAGCCAGGTACTTTGTCACGTGACCACGTTGTAGACAGAGGCTGACATATTGCTTTGGGGGAAAATAGGATGAGTTCCTCTATGTGGAAAATATGAAAAATTGTGAAAAGTTGCTGAAGGACAGCACTTCTCACGTAAAAAAAAAACCATCCAGAGATCTTTTTTTTTCTAACTGCAAGAGTGAGGGGAGAGAAATATGACACGTGTTGTCGTTCTGCCTCTGCAGATTCATAGCTTTGATTTAAAACTGGCTAAAATGAAGAGTAAACACTCAAAACTACACACTAACTAAAATCCAAACATGTTAAAAGTCACAGATCTAATTAATAAAGTCCTGCTCTCACCGGCTCTTCGTTGTCACCAATCTCCATTCAAATTTTGCCTCTTTTTATTTTCTTCTCCTGTAGATTTTTTACTGCTTGTCAGATATCTGTGAGCCTCAGTCAAAAAGGAGCTCTGGGGGGTTATATTTTTTCAGTTTAAGAGAAAGTTGAGACTGACGATGGACGGTGGTGTTTTTTCCACGAGATTACAGTGTTTACTGCTCCCTTCAGCTGCAATGCGCTTCCGCGTCTCTTTTCTTTCCCCCCATAAAAAATGGAGGTTGAAATCACGTGACTGAATGACGATACGCCGACTTCGAGAATAAAGGGCTTTTGGGATTTTATTTATTTTTTTTTTTTTTTGGAACAAAATTTTGGACTATGATGCTCTTACTTGTCCAACAACCAAAGGGGTTGCTGCTTACTTGTACCAGTGCTGTGAACCTGGATGTCAGATTGAACAGCGTCCCCACCTTTGAGGTTTTTGTGAATCGAGGTGTCAAAATGGGTGTACTAATTTGTAAAAGTCAAGGCTTGTGATATTGAATGGCATTATGAGACGTTTATCCCTAATGCCAATGGAAAAAATGGTTATAGTTCTTTGGTTCGTTTACCTATTTGGCCTTGAAACAAGGAATAGATTTACATTATTTGGAATAAGTATTCATTAGTCAGTGTTGAGGCTGTGATGTTAAATTGTTGAAATTTATAATGTTTTGATACAGCAATTTTTGCATTCTGCAAATATTTTAGTCTAATTACAGGAAGAGTTGTATAGTTAGAGGATTTAGGAAAATATCAGCTGCCTCAGTTATTTCAAGCTAAATGGACCATTCACTAAGTTATGAAGGGAGTTACTCTTTGAGGAGGAGGACAAGGATTTTGTTGTATGTCAACTGTTGAGTTAAATTGCATTTTCTTTTATAGGTGTGCCCTTGACAAGCAAAGGTTTCTCAGCAGATCTCCATGTTGTGCCACGCACAACTATTTGCTGGGGCTTTTTTGGGGGTACAGGTCTACAAAATAAAGCAACTTCTTTTGTACTGTCCTTGTCTTGAGAGGTTCGGTCAATGATGTCCATTCGGTGAACAGGCACGTGACCTGGCACATCCACATGGCTGTAGTCGATGTTTAACCGAAATTCTGATATCTAATTGTTAATAAATTACTTATTTGTTTGTATTTTATGAGCTATTTGATTTAAGGATTATTGTTAAAGATGCATCATTTTCTTAAGAGCTGATTGTCAAGATTAGGAGTACTTTTCTTTCAGTAGGCTCAGCTGATGAAAGAGTGTTTTGATGCATTAGCCGGAAGTTTAAAATGGTAAAATTTGACAAAGTACATAAAGGACTGAACTGAAATGGTCTGAGGGGTTGTATGGGATTTTTCCTAACTTGAAAAGGTTCGGTCAATTACGTTGTATGCGGTGTTCACCGTCTTATGTTGAAATAGGAAATAGGAAGGCTGTTGAGCATTTCATCAGCTGTTTTCCTCTTGGTGTTTTGAGACCATTCCACCAAGGACATACTAAGAAGTTTTAATAAATTCTTTCTTTAAAAAAAAAAAACAAGCTTATTTTTTGTAGACCTGTACCATATTGTGCTGCTGAGGTTGCTGGGGGAAGGCTGAAGACTAGCAGTCTGAGCTCACTGTCAACGGCCGTCCTCCTTGTTTCTACTCTAAACCCCCATTGTTCTCTCGGCTTCTCTCCCCTTGGTGTGTGTCATCTCTGGAATCTGATTTTTAGTGGGTGAGGTAACATACGTGGAACACTTAATGGACGCAGAAGGCAAATCGAGGGTAAGTGCAAACACCTACAAATATATGATTAAGCCTAGACAAACCTGTGTTTGTCAGCTTTGGTTTATTTATTAAAATTGATGGAAATTGTTCAGATAAAGAACCTTGTGGAGTTCCTGAGATGGAGACATACTGGAGGTGTGTTTACTTGGTGTTGCCGGATTAGAGGCCATCATGAACGGTTGATGTTCTAAATAGGACTTCAGCTTTTCTCGTATTCAATCCATGGATTGCTTTAGTTGTCAATGTCTATATTGGTTGCTGAATTTGCTCCTTTTGATCTTAAGGGATTTAGTTGGCAAGAGGTTGTTACAAAGCTGTTTGATGGTTTGTTAAACAACCAATTTATAGCTCTGTTTTACTGGAAAATAGTTTTCAAATATGATAATTGTGTGGATTTCAATCTCACTGCGGAGTTTCTTCCCTTTGGATGTTTGAAACCAGCTCTGGGTTTTTACTTCAATTGCCTTTGTCATTGACTGGATCGGGGAGGGAGTAAAATGTGTATAGTTGTTGCCAAGGTTTTAGGCTTGTGTGTTTTAAATTTTGTTTGTGCATGAAATTGTTGTACTACATGTCAGACCAACTTTTGAACACTATATTTACTATTTTATTTTTTTTCTTTTTGGTCCATATTTCGTGTTCTGATTACTACAATCAAAAAGGGTTGTGCGTAAGTACATTTCATTTATTGCAATTTCCAACTGTAGATCTCTTTGTTAGTTTGACAGAACTAAATCTAGCTGCATCCTGATTAGACTCAAGTTCTCTGTGCAAAACCAAACTGCATAAAAACTCCCAATTGGTTTGTTTCTTTTAGTGTTGTTGAGTTTAGGACTGAAGAACTAATGAAGAGAGCCGTGGAAAAGGTCAACAAGCATAACCTCAATGGGCGACCCCTTAAAGTGAAAGAGGTACACTGCATGGGAAAATAAGAAAAGCAAATGTTGGTTGTTTTTTCAGTTACGGTAATATTTTTAACTGTGGATCATCTTGAGGTTTTTTTTTTTTGTACTTTTAGGACCCTGATGGTATCATTGCCCAAAGAGAAATGAACAAGTCCCAAGGTGGAGGTCCTCCAGGAGGGCATGGTGGAATGGGAGGTATGGGCGGCATGGATCGGATGGGGGGCATGGATCGGATGGGCGGCATGGATCGGATGGGCGGCATGGATCGGATGGGCAGTATGGATCGGATGGGCAGTATGGATCGGATGGGCGGTATGGGTGGAATGGATCGAATGGGCCCAGGACCAACTGGCCCCATGGTCAATATTCCTCCCAGCCTGATGAACAACCCAAACATCCCTAACGACGTCATTCTCGGCCTCCAAAACGGCAGGATTGGAAGCACCGTTTTTGTGGCAAATGTGAGTTCAGTTGTTGTTTTGATATACTGTTGAAAGCAAGTTTTATAAATTGAAATTTCTTCAGGAGCAAGTAGCATTTGAATCTAAAGTCTAATTAAGAAATGGCTATATTTTGTGTTCATAAATGTTTATCACTCAGAACTAGTTTAACATTCAAATTGTTCTAAGAATTTGGTGCAATAATTACTAAGATACTTTAGGATAGTTTTAAAGTAATCTCTCTTCAAATTTTCTTGCTTTGCTGCCAACAGCTTGATTACAAAGTTGGGTGGAAAAAGCTCAAGGAAGTGTTCAGCATGGCAGGCATGGTGATGAGGACAGATATTCTGGAGGACAAGGATGGAAAAAGCAGAGGCATGGGCACAGTGACATTTGAGATGCCCATTGAAGCTGTCCAAGCTGTCTGTATCCTTCAACATATACAGAGTCTCCAATGTATTTAATTAAATAAATTTTCATTGGGATTTGTTTCCTGGTTTATCCTTTTGCATTTTCCTAAATGATTTTGCAGCTATGTTCAATGGACAGTTCTTGTTCAACAGAACTATGCACGTTAAACTGGTARGTTGCTGAATAATGTTTTTATATTAGATCATTTTATGATCAAATCTTTTAAATGAGATGGGGGTTGTGTGCACTTTCACAGGATGAAAAATCCCTCCCCAAAGATTTTGGTCCACCAGACAGAGCAGCTGCCCTTCCACGTAAGTATAATTAAAGCTTTTTTTATTTAGAAGAAAAGAAGACATACAAATCACAATTATATGTTTGTTGTGCATTCATATGYCGTTAATTTGTGCCAGCTTGTTGAACGTACAGTAACACTGATATGAGAACAGATATACAAACTTTAATATCAAACTTTATTATATATTTTAGGCAATATTTCTAAATTATATTAAGCTATATTGTTGGCTTTGATTTTATTTGTAGATATTCAAATTCATTTATTAAATTGTCCCTCTACTTTGCTGATAATCTGTTATATAAAAAAGAGTGCTTTGTAGAATTTTATTACCTACAAATGATAACAAAACCAACAAGTAATGTGACCACATTTTTATGCCTAACAACATTCTTGGGCTACAAAATTTTTAAAATATATTTTAAGATTGTGTCACTTCTGCCTCTTGGTTCAGTACTTTAAGTTGATTGGATGGGGAAAGTCAAATACATTTATATACAACTTGGGTTGCGAGCACAGAGACAGAGCCGTGAGCAAGCAGAGGGAAAGAGCAAGGAGACTAGGAGGGAGCAGATAGACGAGCGAGCTTGTGTGTGATTGAATGCGCACGCTTCAGTTTGTTCATTCGTATTGATATCTGTTAACTAATCAGTGTTACTGTGCGCTCAAAGCTGGTGGCACAAATGTAACGCCATATATTTATAGCAACTTCATTCATTTTCATGACATAACTGAGCTCAGAGGATTTAGAATATAACCTCTCAAGCAGCATTTTCTGTAGATCTATATTGGTTGTGTATACACTATGAAAACACCTATTCGTAGTCTAATCAAAACATTCAATGTAATTTGAAGAACAGTGTCAAGAGTTATGAAATTCTATTTGGCTCAACTATATAATTTGTTGTGTTGAAAAGAGGTTCATTGTTACCCATTTCTGTCAAACTAGGTGGGCTAAGTGGTGTTGGTTTGGGCCTTGGACCTGGTGGACAGCCTATTGATGCAACAATGCTCAACAGGGGAGGTGGTGGTGGTGGTGGAGGAATGGGAAACATGGGACCTGGAGGTAACTATTTATAATAAGTTTTCTTTCAACTCCTTAAAGGGATCCCTGATTACTTGCAACATTAGACTTTATTTGATAAACGTATTTTAACTATAAAATAAAGACTGTGAAAATACTGTAGGTATTATACTGTTTAGTTTTGTAAATTTAAAAAAAAATGTATTTTAACACTGATGGAGCCATTTTATTTACACGCAAAGCATTCTGGGTAAATGATAYCGTGGATAGGTCATCGCTGCGAGGCTGCTAGCGAGCTTTATCCACCCTGAAGGTTAATCTTGGACAATATCTGATGATTGCCTCGTTTAAATGAAACCAGAGAGCGTTGACAGAGAGGAGAAGGTAGAAATGACTCAGCCTGTAAAGAGCTGCTTCATGGAAGAAGAACCTCAGCTTAGCCTGTTAGCCTTCGCGCTAGAGCCGACGCTATATTGCCTTATATGTATAAGCTCGGTGCTAGCACAACAAACAAACAAGCTACACTGAGGTCCTCCATCCATATTTTCAGTTACAGGCTGAGTCATTTCTACCTTCTCCTCTCTGTCAACGCTCTCTGGTTTCATTTAAAAGAGRCGATCHTCAGWTATTGTCCAAGATTAACCTTCAGGGTGGATATAGCTCGCTCACACCGAGGACCTATCCACGTCATCATTTACCCAGAATGCTTTGCGTGTAAATAAAATGGCCCCGTCCGTGTAATATATTTTTTAACTTTTAGTTTAAAAATGATAAAAACTGAACATCCAACAGTATTTTTACAGTCTTTATTTCACTGTTAAAATATATGTTTATCAAATAAAGTCTTAATGTTACAACTAATCATGGATCCCTTTAAATATAAAAAAATGCCAATGCTCATTGCAAATATTGTCATGTGCAGGAGTGGATGGAATGGGGTTTGGCAACATGGGAGGTCGCATGGGAGGAGGTAAGTTTATATTAATGTATATGATGACTTTTTTAGAATCACTTTCAACACTTGAATCGGGCATTAAGACTCTTTGTTGTTTTATCAGGAATGGACAACTTTGGCGGYGTGAACAACATGGATCGTTTTGGCTCTTCAGGGATGGGACGAATGAATGGTTAGTAAATATTGTGACATTCTGAACCAACGTGGGTCTTTTAACATTCTGCTGTAAATTTTATTGGTTTGATCTCTTGCATTGTCAGAGATGGACCGTGGGATCGGTGGTGGTTTTGACAGAGATTTTGGACGAAATGAAATGGGAATATCTCGCAATAGTTTCGGAGACTCCTTTGACAGAGGAATGGGTTAGTACTTTCAGAATTTGCTTTCAAGCCCCTATAAGTCTCTCAAGGTAATTTCATCACATCTTCCTGTGGTTTTTGTTTACTTCTGTTTTGTAGGGAATTCCGTGAGTATGGACCGCATGAACACTGGAATGGACCGCCTTGGAAGTAACATGGATCGGATGGGAGGGATGGGCATGGACAGGATTGAACGTGTGTCTGACCTGGACAGGCTGGGATCTGGGTTTGACCGTATGGGTTCAGGGATGGACCGGCTGGGGCCCAGTATCGACAGGCTTGGTCCTAGCATGGGATCTAGCATGGATCGCCTTGGCCCTGGTGGGTTTGACCGTCTAGGTGCATCCAGTTTGGATCGAATGGGTTCCAGCGTGGATTTTAGCTCCACAATGGGCATGGATCGCATGGGCAGCACTGGAATTGACAGAATGGGAAGCAACTTCGATCGCATGGGATCTACCGGAGGCCTTGACCGCTTTTCCTCCAGTGGCTTTGACCGCATGAGCTCTGGGATGGACCGGATGGGATCTGGAGGTGTTGGTGGTCAATTTGATCGCTCTGGTGATTTGGATCGTGGGTTTGTTGGAAATTCTTTCGGTGGAGCCGTAGGGCCTGGAACTGGGGCAGGCAATATCAGGAAGGGATGTCAGATCTTTGTCAGAAATGTAAGTGCATACATTGTTTTAGGCTTAATTCATCCTAAAAGCTGTCCTTTATACAGGAGTATTAAATTGTACTTTGTTTTTCAGCTGCCATTTGACTTCACCTGGAAGATGCTGAAGGACACCTTCAATACATGCGGTAAACATAGTTTTAGTTATTAAAAAATAAATGAGAGAAGAAGGTTTTCTGATCCAGTTTAAGGTGTAGGTGTGTGATTGGGAACCTGAGGAAATGCATTGTTCAATTTATGTTTGCTGCTGTGAACAATGGTGCTTTTTGTTTTTGTTCTATAAAGTACCTTTTTATAAACAGATTATCTAACTTAATGATAATTTATTCAAGAACTAACTATTAACCTAAACATGGCTGGATATTTTATACAGGTAATAGGCCTATAATAAATAAATGTTAAAAAATGAACACGTGGGTCAATAAATAGTCAAAGAAATGCTGTTTTTATTTATTTATTTTTATTTTTATTTTTTTATAAAATTACACATTTTTGTGTTCCTGTGCAGGAATGGTCCAGTATGCTGATATCAAGATGGAAAATGGCAAATCCAAAGGCTGTGGTGTGGTTCGATTTGACAACCCTGAAACTGCTGAGCGTGCCTGCCGGACCATGAATGGTTATCGCCTGAGTGGAAGAGAAATCGATGTTAGGATTGACAGAAACGCATAACTCGCACATTTATGTTCCATCTGATAGTTTTAGTCAGCAATGTCTAGTTACTCTGCATGACCAGAAATCTTCAACATATTTGGTTTAGTAAATGTTTGTAATTGAATGTTATTTTAGTTAATAACCTATCAAAGTTAATGTTTTTTAGTTTTTCCTCATGTTAGTATTCTACATTTTAGAGGCTTAATTTTTTGTCATGCTACACCTGACATTGCCTTTGTTCTGTGAGATGTTTTGATAAATAAATCTCTACAAAAAAATCTTTGCTCTTTTATTTTATTAGATTTTTTTCTTAATGGTGCTTAATTACACGTCTTCTTGTACACTTTAGTTCTATTTTAATAAAGTTTGGTTTTACTGAAGAGTGATTATGGTGAAAACTAAAAATCTAGCTTGTAAGTAATATTTATTTTTATTTTACAAGAATCTGTAGAGTGACAGGTTTTAGAAAATGAGGTTAATTTGTAGTGCAGAAGTTCGTAGAACCGATATTAGCACATGCTATCAAAATAAATACGTTTCTATAAAGAAATAGAACACAGTTTTCACACCGGAAGTGAACGGCCACCACCGGAAGTAACATAATTCCGACATTCATCATGGCGGCCTCCTTGTGTCAGTGTTACCAGGTTAGCCCTTGAGACATTTTGTTTTAAAATTCCACACTTAATATAATGTAACAACAAGAACGGCATTAACGATGTATGTAATCTCAGATTACCCTTGCTACTGAATCGACTTGGTTTACCTGCATTGCTTGCATTAGCGAAGTTAGCTCATGCTGCTATGCGGTGAAATCTTCATGTCTGAACTTTAAATTAAATGAATGCTTGAAATAAAATAGCGTCTGATGTTTGAAATAACATACGACATTCTTGTAATATAACTCAGAATATTGCACCTTAAGTTCAAAACTTCACCCTAATCCAGTCGTTAACGTGAATTTATTCTGTTTGTGCCCAGATGTGTATAAGAAGAGGTTTGCTAGCATCCCCTTCCTCTTACTTGCTSCTTTCAAACAGACCCAATGTTTACAGGATCCTCAGAACCTCTCCACAGGTACCTTTCAACTCTTTCTGCACAGCTTAGCACTAAAAGGACTACCTACCTACAAATATCTTGGAATTACTTTGGATTCTCATTTGACTTATCGTGATCATGTACTAGTCTTAACCACTAAGTTGAAACAGAAATTATACGTTTATTCAAAAATTAGATCCAATCTGACATCTTCTGTTTCAAGTATCTATGTTCATGCCATTATACTCTCAACCATGTCGTACTGTTTACCTGTTTGGTCTCTTACAACAAATGAAATCTTGTCTCATTGGATACAAACTATAAAGAAAACTGGGTTTAAACTTCTGTTTAAGCTTCTTAAATACCGTACTTTATTTTAATTAAACCTATTGGATTTTTCTTACCCAGGTGCCTCAGTTTCCCCTTCTTCAGGTAAGGTATTTATCTGGGGAAAAGGGGGGTGGCAGGAGGGGTTTCCTGGGGGAGTTTTTGAATAACCTGAAACAGGAGTTGAACAAGAACAAAGAAATGAAAGAAAACATCAAGAAATTCCGGGAAGAGGCCAAAAAACTTGAGGAGTCCGATGCACTGAAACAAGCTCGAAGGAAATATGTTAGTATTCAGCCACATACAAAATCATATCCCTGCCAACCTCAGTATTCTATAGTTCTCTCRTCTGTTTTTACCCAGAAAACTATAGAATCAGAAACAGTGAAGACATCRGAGGTCCTAAAGAAGAAGTTGGGCAACATTTCTGACACAGTGAAAGAGGTGAATGCATCTTGTGATGTCGCTTCTCTCTTTTGATTGATGCGTCAAGAAGTTGCTGTAAAAGTTGTCTCCAGTTTTTAAACGTACATTTTGGTCTGTGTGTTTGGACAGGGGCTGGAGGAGGTCAGCCGTACAGACATAGGGAAGAAAATCAAAGAGGGAATGGAGGAAGCTGCCAAAACCGCTAAGACCTCTGCAGAATCTGTCTCTAAAAGTGGAGAGATGTTGGGAAAGACTGGAGCATTCAGAGCAATATCTCAGGTATGCAGCCACTCAGCTGGTTTTATTTGCACTAAAACCTGAGCTAATGATTCTTTGTTTTCTTTCMGTTCTTTTTTTTATTCCCAAGATGAAGTAATAATACGTGTGGAAGGTGCATAAAAGAGTTCTGATTGTTAAAACGGAATCTTACAAGTCTTGTTTTTATTGTTTCGAATTTGTTACTTTGTCTGCAGGGGGTGGAGAGTGTGAAGAAAGAGATCGACGATCTCGGCCACACAGGCCCATACAGGCCTCCCGCCAGGCTACGGAAGAGGACCGAGTTCTCCTCCAAGGGTGCAGCGGATGACAAAAAGATCTTCGAAGCCAACGAGTACGTGAGTGTCCACCTTTTTCCTGACATTGAGAAGCCGTTCACAGTAAAGTGGTTCCTCCCACTGAGGCGCTTGTATTGTTATCAGTATTATTTTTAATAAACTCTGAGTAGAGCAGGAATTACATCTGTTCAGCCACATACAGTATTGTTGAATGTACGAGACAAATTAAAAGCTGTGTTGCTTTCAACTTTTAAGGAGTTCTAAACACTGTTATAATGGCCAATGTTTGTTTTTTTACATTTAACTGATTTACCTTGAAGCGTTTGTGTAATATAACTGTTGTTTTCTGTCTGAGTTGAAATGAGTAACAGTGATGTTTGTGTTGACTGACAGCTGTGATGCTTCACTTTGTGTGGGTTTTAGGGAAGCTATGGGAGTGGTCCTRCACAAAGACTCCAAATGGTACCAACAGTGGAAAGACTTCAAAGACAACAATGTGGTCTTTAACAGTAAGGATTGGTTAACTTGGARGTCTCTCTTAGGTCTTATATAATTCTACTTTTTGCCATGTGTAACTACAGTTTGTTATTTAGTTATTCTTTAATGTGTCTGTGACATGCATATCCTTCAAATACAAAAAGTCAAAGAAAACATCTTTGTATTTAAGAGACTTGACATAATACCCACGATTTTACCAATTTTCTTACATTTTCTTCTGAACTTGGCTCATCTGAAGTGAAACAGGAAGTGATGTCAAAAGGGAACTGTTTCAGAAGGAAAACTCCCTGGTCTTTGTTTGTTGAAATAATATTATTTAAACTCTGTTTTTCACCTCTCTGATAATGATTGAAAATAATTTAAAGAAACGTCAGATTCTTCTCTACAGTCTGTGCTAGCTGTTGTAGCAAAGCTCTGTTCACATGCAGTCATTCCCCTTTGACATCACTTCCTGTTACTGCACATGTGGATATCTTAACAACTGTTCGTCTCAGCAGTGTAAAATTTATTTTGCAATATGTTGCCGTTGTTATCTTTCCAAAAGTACATTCATATTTATTACAAAAAWTTGATGTCATAGGCACTTTAAAGAATTGATTTGTCACTTCTTGCATCATCTCACGAGCAGATCTATTAGAATTKACTGTTTAAAAAAAACAGGTTTTCTGTTTATGTGTACAGTTAAAATAAAATTGTGCGGCAGTGAAGAGGTTTCAGGAATTGACAGCTTTAGGTTGTTAAAAAGCTGACCTCCTCTCTTTATGTTGTCTGAAGGGTTCTTTGAGATGAAGATGAAGTACGATGAGAGCGATAACATCCTAATCAGAGCATCACGCTCCATCACTGACAAGATGACCGACATCATCGGTAAGAGACGTCCAGCTTGGGGATGAAGAYATCAAATGTAAAAATGTTACGAGTGGTGGTAATTAGCTTTGAGCACAACTTCTTGCTTAATTGCTTCTCCTGTTTATCTTTTAGGTTCAGTTTTTACAGGAGTTACCGGTACACATTTCTGACCTGCTGTGTTCTTTTTTTATTTAAATTTTTAGGAGGGCTTTTCTCCAAGACAGAAATGTCWGAGGTTCTAACAGAGATCTTAAAGGTGGACCCATCTTTTGACAAGGATTCTTTCCTTAAGCTGTGCGAGCGAGACATCATCCCAAATATACTTGAGGTAGGTCGAACTCCAAAACAAACATTTGTCAAAAGTCAGTGGAGATTTTATAGTTTGGGGTTAAGTATGATTTTGTGACTGTTTTAAAAGGTAGATAATGAGTTTTTTATTGTTCTGTTCTCATACAGGCGATGATCAGAGGGGATCTGGAAGTTTTGAAGGACTGGTGCTATGAAGCGGTAAAGTCTTCCTCATACTTACACCAAAAAAACAGATACCAAGATCATTCAGAGAGTGGTGTCCGTGTCTCTGCAGCACCTGCATTAACAGCTGTCCACACTGTCAATGTGTTGTGGTGACGCCTTCCTTGTCTCTGTTTTTGTTTTGCAGACGTACAGCCAACTRGCACATCCAATTCAACAAGCCAAGGCCCTAGGATATAAATTTGACTCTAATATTCTGGACATAGARAGTATTGACGTAAGTTATTCAAAAGCTTATTGAGAGGCAGCACTCTGAAGCATCAYTTCAAATAGTTAACTAGTTTACACCAAAAAATATGAAAACTTAACTTGGAAACKGACAACATGCATCTAAAATAAGAAAACTATKATCATCAACACTGTAGTTGATGATTATCAATGTTACTCATTATAATGTTACTATCAWTGTTACTCATTGATTTAATTCCTGATAATGACACAGAAAAGGTATTATTATCTGTATMAAAGAACTCTCAATTCCTCATAACTAAGTTATGAGAAGGATGTAAGACTAAAACTCCTACAACACACAACTAAAAAAATWAATTTAGGCTCTGCAAACTGGTTTGAATCATTTTAACTTCTTGTATTGTGATGTTTTTAATATTTGTTTTGTCCTTTTGCGTGTGTCTGCTCCAGCTGGCCTTAGGTAAAATGATGGAACAGGGTCCGGTGCTGATTATAACTTTCCAGGCACAGATGGTCATGGTGATTCGAAACACCAAGGGAGAGGTGGTGGAGGGAGACCCTGTAAGTCAAAAACTTTATATTATACTTATGAGTTTTTTAGATCTGCTATTTAATAAAAGCAATTAACCTTTTAATAGGAAACGCAAAACATCAGCTGTTTTTTTTAATCAGAGGTACAAGAATGTTCACGTTTTTAGAGGAGGTAAGGATGGAGGAAGTATCTGAAGGCATCTGTAAAACAGCAGAGGCTCTGTTTTTAAACATTAACAAATGATCATCTAAATGATTCCTTGGCAGGATTTATTGAGATACTGACGCCACATTTAGGCATGTGGGCTAGGATTTTATGCGGAGAAATATTTACATGAGCTGTAATTCAGTCATCACATTCTCTCAGAGAACACCAGGACAYTCATAAACAGCTAACAGGTCAAGGTAGCCACTCTGTAGCTTCCGTCTGGCTCCTGTCCAGTTCTCAGTCCATAATACTGATAATAAAGAGAATTAAAGGTGGACAAACTGTTCTCTTGATTTTATTAATAGGGCTTTGAATGTGGCACCCTGTCCTTTTTGGACTAAATGAATCTTAATAAAATTGTTTCCAAATAAAGTATTTTTGAAATCATGCATTTAAGAGAACGAGTCATTGTTTTTGTCTGTTTCAGGACAAAGTTATCAGGATGATGTACGTGTGGGCTCTATGTCGAGACCAGGAAGAGCTGAATCCATATGCTGCCTGGAGGCTACTGGACATGTCTGCTTCCAGCACTGAGCAAATCCTCTAAACTCTTTGATGTGCACAAAACACACCGAGCCTGAGGGGAGAACATCCTGTTCTAGATTGTGAAGATGAAGGAGAGAAGAAGACCTGCAGAGATCAGCCTCGTGGGCTTGTTTTACGGCCCAAACACTGGAGTAGTGTTGCTGAATGCTACAGGTGCCTCTGTGTCTTTTTCCACTACTTTTGTCTGTTTTTGGGGTTGACCTTTGTAAGTTGTTTGTGACTGTTCCTCTAACTTCCACTAGAGGGCAGCAGAGCACCAACAATATTCACCTTGTGTACTTTTCTGCAGCTAGACCGTTGTTTCTGGCACTCAAAGAAGAAATTAAAAAATGAACTTAAGCAAATAAATTCTGACTTCTATAAAAGARATATAAATCCCTAAAGTTGTTTTATAACCATTTTTTTGTATATCTGGTTAAAATACACAATATATTTAAAACTGCAGCCCCAGCCTGTGTAATCAGTCCCTCTGATTTCTTGTCATTTTATTGACCAATCTCCCATCTTGAACATCAAATTACTCCTTTTTTTGTTTGATAATCATTCAATGTAATTAATAAACTGTCAGTAAGGCTATATTTATTATGAAAAAGGAGAACCCTGTTTTTCATATGAGTTGGTATTTTGTAAAATCTGCTCTGGAAATGGTTTAGTTTGACCTCAGTTTAGGGGAATAGTTTGCAATTCCTTAGTGGAAAGTTGCTTTTTCATTTTATTTTATTTATTTTTTGTCCTTTTTGGAACAAATTCTAACTTCTTGTGATTTTCAGTTTCACTTCCATCACAGAGCTTTTGCAAAGGTGACCTGTAGGTACTGGCTTCCTTGAACTTATTGGTCTTCAGCAAAGGCTAGGCCAAAATGGACTTCTACTAGAACATACAGCGGGTAAAAAAATAAGTATTGAACACGTCACCATTTTTCT